TTGGTAAATATTCAATAGTAAGCTATGTTTCCCCATTAAGCTTGGTTACTCTGTGCTCATAACTACACACCGTATGCTGATTTTGCTTCTTCTAATAGATTACAGAGTAAGTTTTCTCTTGAAATGGCTTATCTTGCTAATGTTCTCAGTATATTGACTGCTGATCAATGTCTACATGATCAAGTATGTAGCGTTGATTTTTATTGCCTACATGAATTACACGTTTGCATACCATTTTGGGTATCACTGAAACATTAATAGTGTGGTTTGCATCTAGTAAAGGCTCTAAGCTCTGTTCTGGATCTCAGTTTCTCTGCGGTGATTGTAGTTTTTGGAGATTATTCTTACTTGTTCCTTGGAGTCACTTAGTAACTCTCTTCTACCTTTCACTTAGAGTTGATCTATCAAGATCAACATAGTTTATTTCAATTCTCTTGTTCCTGACCCTGAACCTGAGTTAAAAATGGGATAAACCTTTATGTTTGCCCTGTTTTGCTCCAAATATATATCTGAGGGGACAAAATGTATATGATATATTAAGTTCTTCTGAACCTCCATATCTGCTGTTAAGTTCATTGATCATTGGATCAATCTCTCAGTTTCTAGCTTGATTTTTATCTTGTTTGGCTCTAATGAGTATAGAGTGACAAATGTTATGATTGTGGAGGTCTTATTCATCTGAAATTCTAGAGATTTGCGTCTTTGCATAGATCAGAATTCAGATGTGACATTTTTGCTTTCATGGATTAAACATTCTGCAGCAAGCATAAAATGTTTAGTACCCAAGTTTCAACTGATAATGTCTTCCCATTTTGGTATGTTTCTTGTTCCATTTCATTATAGGTAAAAGATGTATTGGTTGTTAGCTTTAATTGCAACCTGATGTAGCAATGACAAGCTAACATAGGATTCTAAAGCTTCTTGCAGAAGTAAGATTAAGAAAGTTATTTGTCATTTTCTATTCACCCCTTCCCAAATCCCAAGCCTGCCTTTGAACTTGTTTTATGAGTATTACCATGTGCTGGAGGAACTTGATTTATTAGTATTACCATGTGAGGAAGGAATCTTATAGTTGAGTAGTTAAGTTTTTGAGCTTGACAACTTCTGTTAAATAACTTTAGTGGTGTGGGTTCTTTATCTTCCATTATGATGGACTATCAAATATCTTACCGGAGTTCATCTCCATACTCTGCTTCTGTCCCACATTTAGGCCCATGGAAAGTCATACTGGTATCATCTAATCCTAGATTGCTTCACACCTCTCGTCTATCGAAGTTGTGTTAAAAAAAACCACAATGCATAAAAATTCTCTTTGAATCATACACCTATTGCTGATTCGATTATTTCTACATGACTTTGAAAACATGTGCTGTTTTGTGGTGTTATTCTGGTTCATTTGGAGATGAGTTGTATGGCATCAGTCAGCACTAATACCATTCTATTATGAATTCAGAAAGATAACGAGCGTTATGCTTATTTTCGACTATTCGGTGAATAATAAAAAATAATATCCTAGAAATAACATATAATTTAGGTAAATGACAAGGCAGGGGTAATGAAGAGAGTGGAGGGGGTAGGGTAAAGATGAGATATGATTATGATATACTTCATTTTGTTTTTTTCTGAATAAATGATTCTTTATATCACTTGCAGATCCACTAAAGAAGTTGTGTGTTCGACACAACAAACTTTACGTTTATACGTGAAAACAACTACTTATTAAAGAAAAAAATATTTTAGAACCTAACCAATCAAATCTAAATTAAGTTGTTTTTATTTTCTCAAGCATATCAATTAACAATGATGTTGATTAGTGATGACGATTGTTAGTATTGGCTAATGACGGTGATTTGTGATGACAATTAATAGTAGTGGTGAATGATAGTAATATCTAATACGCAAGGAATACTGATAATACATAGTAATGATTGAGGATAATTGCTAATAACTTCGATAGCTATTGTTGTGATTTTGGTTAGCAGTGAATAGTGAAAATAATTAGTAATACGTAGTAATAATTGATGGTAATTGTTGATAATGATAATTATGGGTGATGGTAATGGATAATTGTGAGCAATAACACTAAAAGTGAATAATGTAGTGGTAATTTTCTTTTGAAGAAAAATCTTAAATAAATATTTAATAATATTCTATTATTGTTTAACATTCAAATATTTATTTCTTATTGAATAGTTATAAAAAGTAGACTTAATAATTCAAATATAAATTTTGTAGATTCAAATAATATTAAATGCAAATAATAAGATAAACAGCACATCTAGTGTTATCTCAAAAATAAATTCAAATATGGAAATTAAAGTATCAAATTCCAAAAAATGTCGGCACAAAGTTTTCGCCTTTTAGCCGGTCTTTTTTGGTATAAAATTAGTGACCCGCCTAACACCATTTTCCCGCTTTTACAACCTCCTTATTTCAAAACCCCCCCTTTTCCCTTCTTCATCCAAATCCAAAACCGCTCTTCCCCACAAATACAGAAGAAGAAAAAAATGAAATCAAAGATGAGAAGCAGAAACTTGAGATCTTCAATGCCGTCGTATTATACATATCTGAAGCCAGGAGCGTTAGCCCAAATCAGGAATTCCAAAATCACTGCTAAATCAAAAGTACTGAACAATCCTAAAACTCTAATTGTGATGAACCACCAAACATCCGATTCAGGAATCGGAGTTTCACAGCCAGCACCAATCATGGAGAGCGTTCCTTGCTTTAATTTGAAGATCAAGAGCAACCGCCCTTGCTGCCTTCAGAGGAAGAAGCTCAGTGCAGTTGCACCCATTTTCTATGACCCGTCTCTCGTTACCATATAATCCGCTACTACAGCAAAGGGTTTTTCTTAAATTGAACTTTTTTTCTTATATTACCTGTTTTATTTTTATTTGTGGGTAAAGTTTATGTGGCTTCTGATGAATGTAAGTAATGTATTTACCTTGAATTACGACGAAGAATAGATTTGGATTTGGATTTGTTTTTTTTTTAGAACATAAATATAATGATATGTTATGCTTTGTTTATGCCTAATTGACTTGACTGTGAGTCCAATTTGAATTCTTGTGAGAGGGGATTGTGTTGTTTCATACTTATAATCAGTTCTTAATTGTGTTTAATGTTTCGTTAATACTAGTTTGATTTATGTTAAACGGATGTAGTGATAGGAAATGCATTTAATGTCACTATGCGTCTCTGTTGGAGAATTTATTGCCTAGGATAATATGGCAAAATGAACAATTAGTTGATTCTTTGTTGACTTGATATAATTATAATCAGGTAGTTATGTGAATTCATGTACATTTTCATGCATATTGATTACTTCTGGTGCTTGATAAAGTTGTGCAAATATAACCATGCTCTTATTGAATGATTTCTCTTCAAAGTATTGCAACCTCTTCGTGCTTCAAGAATTCAGGATAATATGACCTGAGGAATAGAAGTCTTTAGATTCATAAATCTGAGCATAGAAGCAAGTTCGAAGGAGAAATATATGCTCTGCCATACTCTTCATCAAACATAATTTCCCACTAGGTTTTCCAATTTTCTGCCGATTCAGTTAATTTAGAAGTTGAAATGGATGGAGGTTGACATCTAATCCTATGCGAGCCTTCTCCCACCTTTATTTTGTTCTTCACTTAGATCTCATAATTATGCCGGTTCGTATCTTCAGCCATGCAAGTAAGGATGAAAATAGTGGAATATTAGCATTTTCAGAAGAGCACAAATGAGAACAGAATGTGGGCATAATAGTGGATCTCTCTTTGGTTGACAAACTATAAAGACAGCTATAAAAACATTAGTGATTAGTTAATACTCCCCTAGCTTAAGTAAAGAAGGCAATGTACAAATACTTATGGTAGATTCCTCTAGAAGTTATCCAATTGTTAATTTGTGGAAAACCATTTAGAGCTACCCTTGGAGATAGCTTTCTTAAGTATCTTTTCACTATATAGGAAACTTTAATACTGAAGTAATGCATAATGATTTCCTCATACTCCTTGTGTGTGTGTGGGAGCAACATGGCAAGACAGGTTTCATTGCCCCTGGCCTTAAAGGCTTTTTCTTGTGTAATGACCTTGCGAGGAAAGGATTTAATGGTTTGTTTCAGTGTTTGAATTTTCACATTTTACTTTTATATCTTAACTTCATAACTTGGCTTCGATAATTCTAGCTTTTATGCAAATTTTGAGATGTGGTAGTTTAATGAAGTTGGATTCCATCCCCTTTAGTTCTATATAGATACACAGATCTAATTAGAAAGTCATTACATTGTTTTCCACGGTGGTGAAAGTTGAGCAGCACGCCTGAATTTCCAGGCAGTTCTTACTCTGTTTTTGACATTGATCACATTCTGTTGATCCAGATAGTAATTACTATGCTGTAGTAGCATCGGCATATACATTGTAGTCAGCCACCTGCTCTCCCAAACGTTTATTTCCTTAGTAATAACTGTTCCGGATTTAGTTATCAGAGAATAACCCTCGTACAATAATCAGCACAAGAAATCAATTGCATGCCAATTGAAGGTAAAAGCTTGGAAGAAGGATAAAAAATTGAGCTTTACTAGAACAATGATGACCTTTGAACATTTCTAAACGTTTAAACATATAAAATGTTTAAAATGGGAGAGAAATCACTCTGGCATGATTCAACCTTTCTCTTGAGAATGTTCCTACATCATCTACCAATAAATGGAAGAGACTAAGGTCAAAGATGAAGTTCGCAATGTAGACTCATCGTCCTATCAAATCTCATAGCAGCTGATTATCTTACAGTGGCTGCAGATTTATCACCAAGACTTAGAGGAGGAAAATCCATGAAAACTTAAGCCAGATTCTAAAAGTGATTGATGAAATCAGTCTATTCTGCTAGACTTGTGGTGTATCCATATTTAATCTATGTATGTATTTCTTGGTGAAACTATAAAGACAGGATACACTATACTATAATAAGAGTGCTTTAACTGGTCTATACAGTTTGACACTATGAAGTAGAAAAGCTATACGAGGGATTGAAGATTTCAGGCTTTCAATAATTCATGTTTTACAAATATAGCAGAAAAAAATTGACATACAAATATAGGTTTGGTCTGGCCTTGTGTACAAAATATAATGTGGTTCTCTTCTTGTGCACAAAGTCTGTACGAGGTTGAGAAGCAGAAAATAAAAATTGTCTAGACTTCATTATTGTACCTACAGAGAAGCACAATTGCAGGGGATATGCTTAAACCAAGGCATCTGCTCCAGCAACAATCTCCAATATTTCTCCGGTAATCTTTGCCTGACGCTGTCTGTTGTACACTCTAGATAGATTCTTCTTCAATTCAGATGCATTATCTGTTGCACTGCTCATGGCACTCATCCTAGAAGCAAGCTCACTGGCTAATGACTCCTGCAATGCCCTCAGGATTTGACTGTTCAAGTAAAGTGGCAGCAAGGCATCAAGAATCTGAACAGGGTCCTGCTCGAATTGCAAGATTGCTGAAAAATCAGTTGTCTTAGTCCTCATGACATCTCTTTCCACTGTCAATTTCCCTTCCTTTGTTGTCAACCTAAAGAACTCATCTTCAGCTGCATCAACACAGTTCCCGTTGATGTCACAAATCTCTCCCTTTGGTGACAATGGAAGCAGGGTGTGAATGACTGGCTCAGATTTCACTAAAGACACAAACTTTGTGTAGAGAAGCTCAACCTTGTCAACCTCTTCACTCACGAAAAATGAGAAAACATCATCAGCAATGGCCTGAGCATCTTTAGCAGTGGGCAGATTGCTTCCTTCAAGAAATTTATCTACAGGGATGTAAGGCCTGCGGAGGAAATAAGAATTACCCTTTTTGCCAACACTGATAATAGTGTAATCAAGGCCAAGAGCTTTCAAATCTCTAATCCTGGCCTCAGCTTTTTTGATGATATAGTTGTTAAAACCACCACAAAGACCCCGGTCACCGGTGACAACCACCAACGCCACTTTCTTGACAGGTCTTACTTTGGTGAGTGGTACATCAATGTCATCTGTCTGGAGCTGCTCATTGATGTTGTAAAGTACCTCAACCAAAGTCTCAGAGAAAGGCCTCGCACCCACAACAGCTTCTTGTGCTCTTCTGACTTTAGCAGCAGCCACAAGCTTCATAGCCTCAGTAATCTTCTGTGTGTTCTTGACAGAGTCAATTCGATCACGCAGATCACGGAGACCACATCGGACAGGGATAACTGATGATGATCTTGAGGGGTTTGAAGGGCCTGATAGGTTGTGGTTAGGAAGCTGAAAAGAGCTGACAGCAGAGCGGAAAGAAAGGGCAGAGGATTCAGAAAGAGATGGTTTTGAGGACACCAACATTGTCAAATTTGAACAAGACATGTTTTTTCTTTTAGCTCAGGAATGTGGCTGCTCCAAAGAGTGAAGTGGGAGGGATAAAGATTGGGTTTTGTTTTGAGGATTCTTATCAGAATGGTGGAAATCTTGGGTGTTTTGGTGGTGTGGGGTGAAGGGAGAAGGAGGGAATGAGAGGTGGAGGGAAGGGCCAATCGGATCAGGTTTAAGGATAAGGATTTAGACCGTTGAGATTGCGGTTGTGAATGAAAGAAAAATTTTTGATTTGCCCTAGAGTAAGATTTTTTTTATTTTCTTACTTATATTTTTTTAAAAAATATATTAATTCATTTATGACATACACCCAATGAAGTGAAGTGTGTGAAAATTATGATTCAAATATCAGTCCTATTTAAGAGGACAAAATTAAGTAGGTATTTATACGGATAAAAAATGAAATAATGGTTAATGTAGTAGTTCAAGAGTAAATGTTTTCATTTTCTTTGTGAAAAATGTTCATGTGTTGGAAAGCTTTTGTTGGTAAGTAAAGATGCCCAAAATTTCACAAAGTTGGAATTACATAAATAAAGCTTTTGTTAGTAAATAAAGATATATTGATGAGAATTTTTGCGGTCATCAGCGTAAGGTCTCTTACAGTGACCCAAGTGAATGACTTCTCTGTTCGAATATTCCTCACTTCATTTGTGATTCTGAGATTTTTCTTCATTTCTTTTTTTGAGAAGCGATTGTTGTAATTCTTTACAAATTTAGTTTTAGTTTTATATCTATTTTATAAGAGATCTTCATTTTTACACGTAAGAAATCTGAAAAGAATTGAAGAAAAAAAAAGTTCTATTCAATTTGTAAATAGTTATAAAAGATCATTTCTCTCGTTATTTTCCCTACTGAAATAAAATTAGAGTGATTTAGCAGTCGAATTTTTGTAAATGGCTATTAGTTCAATGTCATAATTGAGCTTTCTTAGGATATAATGTTACAAGATTACTATGATGATTAGGAGTTCGAAGGAAATAACTAAATCAAAAGGCTAATTTATTGATTTGTTATACTGATGAGTATCGTGAAGGTCTGGAAAATGACTCCATTTTTATTTTAAAAAGATCTTGTATTCCTATTTACTTTTTAGATATCTCTACGTTTCACGGTATTAGATAGAAATTGTGACATTTTAGCTATTGATTGTTAAATTATACTTCCTAGTTCCTTCAAATTAGTTTATATGATTAATGTTTGATTGAAAATTTAATTTTTACAAAGAAGAGTTACTTTTGGCACATGTGAAAGGACTACTACTCTAAACATGTCAATATGTCATGTCTTTCTTATATCTATAAGTTCATGTTATTAAAAATAAATTTTAACGTTTGAGATTTTCAAATATGTAAATATTTAGCTCTATGCAATATTTGACTTCATTTCGTGAGTAGTTCGGATAACGTACAAACAAAATCTGTACTCTAGAACACTAAAAATTGTACAGTATGAAAATATTATTTTACCAATTTGGAATAACGGTAAAAAACCAATATCCTTGAACATCATACATAAAAAACATTTTGGAAAACAAAATAAAATCTTTTTCGCAACAAATGTACTTAAAATACAAAATAATTTTCTGGGCTTCTTATAAAGCCAGCCCACAAAAGAAAGGGCCCAATTGAAACGATTATGTATGTAAACAATCCATCATGAGAAATTGGCTCTCCATGAAAGGGCCCAGTAACCGTATTTAGTACACTTATTTAAATAAATGGCCAATTTCATAAAGCTTTTCAGGTTTTAACACCCATAATTAACTTTACACCAGGCTCAAAATTGTGAGACTGAAGTTGAGAATCGTTTGCATACGAGTCTGAAGTTGGGATTGACACGTCAATTAACTCAAATCTAAATATTTGAAATTAACATATCACACGTGTTGTTCAAACTTTAGTCATTTTGGATTTAAAGCTAGCTTTGGTAGCACCATTGTCATATTCGTATATTTAAAATTGAAAAACTTCCAATCCTTCAATTTTGAAGTTAGTCTTGGACAATTAAAATTCAGATTGGAGAACTCCTCAATGTTATCAAAATTCAAGGATCTAATTCGATTCGAATAAAAGAAAATGAACAGTATCGACTTTTATTTGAAAAAAAAGGAAGCAAAAACCACTTTTTTTGTTGCTGTCTGAAGCAACCCTCTTGAGACCAAGTTTTTAAAACTTCAAACAATGATTAGGCTTTAAATAACACATGTAAAATGGATATTTAATGTAAATCTTTATAAATTTATACCAGGTAGCCACTTTTATGGCTGTTGTTTAATATATATAGTCAATATATACAAGAGTAGTTGAAGGATAATCCCAGCTTAAAAATTCTATAAAGTAATGGAAAAAAAAATCTGAAAAATATATTCAAATTTTAACGGAAATTAGTGTAACAATTTCAAACTTTGAGCTGAATTTTCTACTCTTTTGAACAATTGAACTACTTAATAGTGTATTTTAAAGTATTATATATGCTCGTATGGACATCATTCATTATAATTAGTAACTTCTCCACATAGACACTAGACACACATATACCTTTAAAATACACTATTAAATAATTCAGGATAATAGATTCTGTCAACGTTTTAAAATGTTACAATAATTTCGATTAAATTCAAACATATTTCAAATTTTTTTTCTCCAAAATAATTGAAAAGTAGCAAGACGAACTTCAGTTTTTTTTACAAACACACTTCGAAAGTCGTATAAATTGAACTGTTGCAAGTGCAAGTCCATGAGAAATTGTAAAAATTAATTACAAAGAGCAATAATATATATAGAATGAATAAACATCTAAATATAAAATATTGTTATCGTATTTAGTAGGGTCAACTACGTTGCGTGAGCACCGAGCAATGTAGGACACTTTCATGTCACATCACACCGTCGGTGCTCATCCACTTCAACTCAACAACATTTTCAATTAGCCGTGATAGTTTATCTATTAATCTCTAATAAAATTTTAACGTAATTAATTTTTTTTAAAATTAATGTACTTTATCTTTTCTTTTTTATAGTATTGTAAATTTTTTTGGTGTGTATTTATATATTTTTTTACGCAATTTAATTATATAAAATCACAAAATATATATATAAATAAAGGAATATATAAAATTTAAAAAAATTTATAAGATAATAAAATCTTAATTTAATTAAAATATCTCTCGAATTTTGATCGTATCTCGTCCCCCGCTAATGTCTAGTCAATAATGCATGTCTCGTTTTTTGGATAAATCAAAGAGTAAAGACAGTGCTTCCTAAGTTACTTATTTTCTTCTTCTTAATGACCCATTGATTGCCCCACATGGATTAAGCCTTGTCAACCACCATTAATGAGGGCTACCCCATATATATATTTATATATATTTCTCCTTTGTTCTGTTCGGTATTGTTTATTTTGATTTTTATTTTAGAGTTAAATTATAAAAAATTTAACTAATATTTTTGTTCGATATTATTTATTTTGATTTTTATTTTTAGAGTTAAATTATAAAAAATTTAACTAATATTTTAAAGTATATTTTTTCATCATATTAATATTCAAAAAATTGTAATTTATAATATTTTTTATATAGTTTTAAAATATTTCTTTAAAAAATATCGAATTACTGTAATCTAATTTACCTTTAAAATTAAGTAAATTTACTTTAATAAGCGTAATATGATAAACAATTTGGAAAAAGAGAGTAGCACTTGCCACTTAGAATTTCACGTACAAGTGTCCATGCAAATATGATTCCAACCTCTTTGTTTTCTCCTTTCCAGCAAAGGATTAAATCACTAGTCAATTTCTCGTTTCAAATTAGATTTGAACAAAAAATATTGAATTTACATCAATTTTGTATTTTAATCTAATTTTGGTATACTTAAATTATTAAACTCTGCGACTCTTTTTAATTTTAATCTAATTTTCTCAGCTACGTTTGAGGATTGGACTAGAATTATTTAATTAAAGAAAGAGAAATTTCATGGGCGGTAAATATGGATAGAGATTTAGTTAAGTATAATTAGGTTAAGTAATATTCAATAATCTTATAAATTTATGTTATGTGTACTATATAATAATTTATGGTTGAAATTTATTTAAATTACATATTCATTATAATAATAGCTAATAAAAATAACAAAGTTGTCAACTTTTTTATTTTTTTTAAAACTATCAAGTAAAGCAATTAAGTGTACCAAACTAAAATTTTCAAGAAGAAAAAAAAGACTGACTGGAATATGCAAACTTCCTGACTTTTTACCCGTTAAACTTCTTCAAGAGTAATATCACATATGCTTTCTCCAAATTCCGAAGAATCTATAAAAATAGGTCAAACTTAAAAATATCATTGAGTTCTAAATAGTAATTCAATTAAAGTACATGATAATACATCAAAAGAAAAAATTTATTTTGATGTTTTCAAATAATTATAAAAATAAATTTATCAGAATCTTCAAAAAGTATCAAATTCTTTAAAATTAGAATAATTTAAAAAATCCAAAACAAGTATGAGGTTTGACAAGTAAAAAAATCGAGAAATCCGTATATTTCCATCAGTCTTATTTTTTTCTTGAAAATATTAGCTAAACCACATTTAATTATTTTATTTGATAATTTTATAAAATAAAAAATTGTTAAAATAAATATATAATTAAATTGATCTCAACTATAAATTATTTTACACTATACATAACATAAATTTATAAATTTTTTAAACATTATTTAATCTAATTATGCTTATCAAATTTTTATCGGTGAATACTAACACTCAGTAGAATTCCAATGTTTATATACATTTTTGATTTTGATGTTTTTTCTTTATCTTTAACCGCAATATCATGTGACGATTCCTCCTACTTTCAAGCACTGTCTTCCGTGAAGACGACAAAAATGGTACGCATATCATCCATAATTTATAGGGTAGTGAAATGACTTTATTATCAGTATCTAATTTTTTTTCTTCAATAGAATCTAAAATATAATATATTAATGCTTTTATTATAAAAATATTAAATCAAATGTTGGGTTGAATTCAAGACTTGTTTGCAATATACGCAATTAGTATTTCAGTGAAGCTGAAGCCTAATTGAACCAGGGAAAACGATTTGAAAAATACGTAATTAATATTTTAGTGAAGCCTAATTAAATTAGGGAAAACGGTATAAAATAATAAATTATTAATTTAAATTAAATGTTATAGCAATGATTTATTTAATTGTAATTTATAGTAAACACTTCCTTTTTTGATTCAGATATTCAGTATACAATCAGTCATTTTTGGTATCAACTAGCCATTTTATATATTTCGATATAAAATGTATTTGTGTTTGTATAAAGCGAGAGAAAAGTGAATATACAAATACAAATAGATATACTTTGTCATATACACTTATAATTATACGAATACAATTTTTATTATACAAATTACGATGTATAAATAAATTTTAAAAAGCTGAACAATTTTTATAAAATTAGATGTTTGTAGTGAATTATATAAATCAAAAATTGCATAGCAAACATAAAATTTGCTATGAAGTGCAATTATGAAATTTATATCTATAATATACAATCATAATTTTTATATTTGCTATATGTGAAAGTTGTTCATTAAATTAACAGACAACATCAAAAGAAACTATAAATAAATAACAAATTTCAACAAGTCTTTAGTAATTTATTTTCTTGAGTTCAATTTAACTCTCAAAAATCGAAGAACTTTCGCTAGAAAATACTTTTTGAGTCAAATTAATAACAAAAATAATATATCAATACAATTTTTAAGTAAAACTTAACTCTATCCCATTTTGTGAAAATAGAATATTAATACAAAATATCATGGGAAATAAAGTGTGAGTTTCATGATTTTGAAGAATATTCATTTCTATTCGCTCCATCACATTTTAGTTATAATATGTTAAATTTTTCTTTTTACAAAATAAATGAGTAAAATTATACTTATATAATATTATATTGATTTAATTCAACTTAAAAAATTAATTATGGAGAAGCAAAATGATAAGAGACCAGCAGTAAGTGGCGAATTTAGAATTTTAAAGTTATAGACTTCGATTTAACGAACACAAAAAGAATTTTAAGCATGAACAGATGAACCATCAGACCAATTAAATTATTTATTCATTAGATGTCCTATATTAATTTTATATATATTTCTTTTAATTTTTGTATAAATATATATATATATGTATATTTCATAATAAATTAATGTAATAAATTAATGAATATTAGAGCACATGGGTCCGACGCGTGTACAATACTTTGATTCTTGAGTGGAAAGAAAGAGGTCATTTTCTTTGAGGACATTTTAGGCACTTTCTCCCATTATTTAAGAAGGTATCTAAGTGATCATCCAAAGAACAACCTCTACTGACCATTTAGCAAAGTAAAATGGCTACCAAACATCTTTTTTTCTTTGCTATTCTCTTGTTTTCAGCTGCCTCTGTTTTTGCAGAGGAAAATCCTAGCCTTGTAATGGACTATTACAAGGACACTTGCCCTCAAGCTGAAGAAATCATCAAAGAACAAGTCAAACTTCTCTACAAACGCCACAAGAATACTGCATTTTCTTGGCTAAGAAACATATTCCATGACTGCTTTGTTGAGGTACTAAAAAAAATGAAACTTTCTTTTCATTTTTAGACACCCTTTTTGGAGATGTTGAATTTACTGTTCTTTTTTTTTATTTTTAAATACAGTCATGTGATGCTTCCTTGTTGCTGGACTCAACAAGGAGGATGCTGTCTGAGAAAGAGACAGACAGGAGTTTTGGTATGAGAAATTTCAGATACATTGAGACTATTAAAGAAGCTGTAGAAAGGGAGTGCCCTGGTGTTGTTTCTTGTGCTGATATTCTTGTGTTGTCTGGTAGAGATGGTATTGTTGCTGTAAGTTGTTACTTTGTAGTAGATCTGGACTTGTTTATGTATTTTTGAGAAGCTTAGATATTTGGTTCTGAAAAGTGGTTTAGTTAAATATTGCTTGTACTAATATGTATAATGGTGTCTTGTACATAGCTAGGAGGGCCACACATTCCTCTCAAAACTGGAAGAAGAGATGGAAGAAAAAGCAGAGCAGACATTCTTGAACAGCACCTCCCAGATCACAATGAAAGCATGAGTGTTGTTCTTGAAAGATTTGCTAACATTGGAATCAACACCCCTGGAGTTGTTGCCTTGCTAGGTACTATAGCCAACACGACATTGAACAAAATTGCTCTCAGTTAATAGTTTGGGTCTAAACAATATTTAATCTGGTGTTGTTTGAACAGGGTCACACAGTGTGGGTCGAACACACTGTGTGAAGTTGGTACACCGTTTATATCCAGAAGTAGACCCTCAATTGAACCCAGAGCATGTACCACACATGCTCAAGAAGTGTCCTGATCCAATTCCAGACCCAAAGGCTGTGCAATATGTGAGAAATGACAGAGGCACGCCCATGGTTCTAGACAACAACTACTACAGGAACATATTGGACAATAAGGGGTTAATGTTAGTTGATCATCAACTAGCAATGGACAAGAGGACTAAGCCATATGTAAAGAAAATGGCAAAAAGCCAAAATTATTTCTTCAAGGAATTTGCAAGAGCCATCACTATTCTTTCTGAGAATAATCCACTTACTGGGACAAAAGGTGAGATCAGAAAGCAGTGTAATCTTGCCAACAAGCTCCACTAAAACAATCCTGCTTTTTCTTATGTGCTTGTACTCATTATCACTTTTCCCCCCCTTCCTTTGTGTATTTATATGCGAGGGAACAGTGAAAAATGATAGTAGGAATAAGATGGTTTTAGTTTCTTGGTGTTGTAAGTTTGTGTAGTGGACATGACCATGTTCATTACATTCCATGTACTGTTTGTAAAATTTCACTATTTTAGCTACCCTCTTAAGTTATGAAACAAGTGTTAATTTGTTGCTATTTACTGTGCAAGAGTACACATTTTGATTCAATGAGAATGGATAAGAGGCTCGTGTAATTAAGAGGATCAAGAAACTACTCGACCCCATATATTTGCGATAATCATGTTGTACATGAACCCGCTCCGTAAAATCGACTATACGATTCAATTTTTAGCAGTGTAATCAAAGATTCCAGTAACTTTAGGTAAAATCCAATGATTAAAAAAAAAAGTTGAAAAGCAAATTAGGACCCTCATATTTTTGGATGGAAATCATTTTACAAAATTTAAAAGTAAAGTAAAAATAAGTTCCTTTAATTGCAATGTCATCACTTACGTCATGGCTGCTAAAACAAATTATTTATAATGATAATATATTGAGGTTCGGACAAAGAGAAAGAGGGCCATGAATGCTGCATAGGAGTGAAGATGGGTAAATGCTACTACTACTACTTAATATGGCTATATTAATACCTAACAAAAATAACCAGACAGGTGGCTTGGAAATAAGAACATCATATTCAAGAAATAGATTGCTGTTGTTGACTTCTTTGTGTTATCAATTCTCAAGATTCTTATCTTTCGTTTTGGTTTTTGATATCCGTATTAAAATTTAATTCTTACTTTTATATTTAGAATTTATCAATCGCCAATTAGTCGTACTCTCCTTATAGGTCAAATAGCTTCCTAGAAATATTCAAAAGGATTATTTTGCTTCTTGACATAGAAAAAGTATAACTCCTGCTTGCTAATAATAATAACATAGCTCATGTTATTATAAATTTTCACTTTTAACTTCAAGACATTATATTTGCATTTCAATCCCCTAAGCTCAATGATTAAAGAAAATTGTATATAATATATTAGATGAAAATGATTTAGAATTTAAGTAGGACGGTCCCTCTTTCTGATTAGATTGATTTGATTTAGCTACTATTGGACCTTAATTATTAGTAAGTTGATATATAGTACAGATGTCACTGAAAATATCCAAAGCCTTCTGTTTAAAGTTATAGAACTAAAGTTAGCATCAAGATCAACTAAACACACCAGCAAGAACCCGTTTGGACTAACTTAAAAAAATAATTTTTAAGTTAAAAAGTAAAATTTAAATTTAAGTAATTTTTTAGTTTAAAAAAAAAGAAAGTGAGAGTCTTATTTTTTAAAGTCATTTTACACTTATTTTTAACTTTGTCAAACATTCTTAAAAGTAAAAAAAAAAAAACTTATTTTCTTCGTTCCATTTTATGTGACAATTTTCGCATTTCAAGATTTAAACAAGTGTATTTTTGACCGTAATTTTTTCATAGAATCTTTTAACATTTTGAATTATCAATTATTGTGACTTATATTACTTTGATTAGAATGTGGATGTGTATGCTATAGCAAAGTTTACATAATTGCGCTCCATAGCAAACATAAAACTGTATAATTCGCTATACATATACAATTGTATAATTCGCTGGCCTAAATTGTATAATTCGCTGGCCTATTTCGCTGCAATTGTATAATTCACTATCCTATTTCACTGCAACTGTATAATGCACAATTCTATAATTCGCGGCCTATTTCGCTGCAATATTTTTATAAAATTTGCTTTGCATACAATTGAATCAAATTAAAATGTATGTATACTACATAATTATAAGTGTATAGCAAGAAGATATATGTTTTTCTCTCGTTTTATACAAAAACATAAACACAATATATATATACTTCTGTTGTATAAAGCTAGAGAAAATTATAATTCACTGCAATTGTATAATTCTTTGGTCTTTTTCTCTTGTATAAAATTTGCGTTTGTCTACAATTGAATTGAAGTAAAATGTTTGTAAATTGTATAATTAAGTGTATAACACGAAAATATATGTTTTTACATGTGTATATACAATTTCCTCTCACTTTATACAAAACAAAAATAGAATTTATACACTTCTGTGTATAAAGGGAGAGAGGCGAGCAGAGGGAGAGTGGCGAGCGAGATTTTTGGGAGAGAGACGCCTGATAAACTTTGGCTAACGTTTGCTATGGAGGACATTTAAAACAAACCCTAGCTACTCCATTTATTTTAGGTTATTAGTTTGCTATTATATACAATTTTCCCTATTTTAAATGGGGTTGGGTTATTGGGTTAAAATAAGAAATTAGGGTTTTTTTTTTAAAAAAATTGGGTCAACTGTTTAATGGGGGTAAATTTGGTGAAATTAGTAACCGGAGGGGTAAAATTAACTTCATTTTAACAGCGAGGGTAAAATTTAGATAATAAATCAAAGTTAAGGGGTATATTTGACCCTTTTTCCTACTTTTTATGTTACAAATATATAAATTTCATTTTAAAATATTTGAAAACTCCATATGCAAATATTCGATCAAAGTTAAACTGCTTGACTCTTGAAAAATGAAATGTATCACTCTCTAACATTTTAAAAGTGCTCATAACTTCACTTCCAACTTTTTTTAGCTTCTCAAATTTAAGAATAAAATTCCTAACGTTTTTAAAGTGCTCATAACCATAACTGATTTTTTGTATCAAAAAAATTTAGAGAAATAATCCAATCTAAAGTGATTTTAAAAAGTAATTATGATATTAACAGAGTCAATCCAAGAACATACGTCAAAAGAAATTTAGAATTAGCAAAAAATAATTATTATAAGACCTATTACTCTTCTTATTTTTAATAGAAATAAAAGAAAATATCAAAGGTATTATATATCAAGAAATTAGAGACACACGCCTAATCCCTAAAGTAGATACAATTTGGGCAAACTACGGACATGAATTGCACTCCACGTGGTCCCAATATTTTGTTGTTGAATTCGAATTTGGATCATCAAATTAAATACATACATATTTCACTTGTCGCGGATAAAACTCTTTCTTCTATGATAAACATCTTCGTATTAAAATTGATCAAACTTTTCTTGTTTCTCTTTTAACTTTAGTAGTTTTATCCAAATTGTTTAATAAAGGTCCGATGGCACCATGGATACTATCCGTTCGACTTCTTAATTATATCATGAAAGAGTTAGCATAAAAACAGAAACAAGAGTTTCTCACGACTCAAATCTGAGACTTTTGATTAAGGGTGAAACACTCCCATCAGTGCATCACAGTCCATGTTGGTAGAAACAAGAGTTTCCCAAGACTCAAATCCGAGACTTCTGATTAAGGATGAAACACTCTTATCAGTGCATCACAATCCATGTTGGTAGAAAGAAGAGTTGATTAGTAGTGTCAACCTTGAAGTATTTCATCATTTTGAGATTTAACACTGTTTGCTGTCCATGTGGATGAGGTCGTTGATTTTCTTATATTATAACTATAGAACAAATCTTAATTAAGCTCAAACACACTTAATCATTACCATAATATATACAGTTTTTAAGTGTATTTACATTATTAATGACAAGCTAGTCGTATTTTGGAAGTTGGAGTTAGGTAATAAGAGGCACATAAAAATGTGAATTATCCAAAAAGAAAAAGATTAAAAAGGGCCCATCTGTCCAAGCCTATTAATATTGATGAGTTGGGCTAAAGTCATGTTAGTAAGTCTACAATCTGCAAGGAATTGAACCAGCCTATTTTTTTTCTTATTATGGTCATAATTAGATGATTTACTTTTAATTTATTTTTTCTTCATTTGATGTTTCGGCCGATAATATATTATCTACGTTTTAGACGTTTAGTTCTTGGCTTTTTAGGGTGTCAAAGTTTCACATTGATTCTGAATGAGATAATTACTCTCCTCGAATAACTTTCACTTTAAAAGTTGATATTTTATTCCATTACAAGAATTTTTTTTTTTTTTAAAAAAAATAATTTTTAGATATTATGTGATTAAAAATCAATATTTTTTTAAAAAATTTAAATGATTTTTATTATGAAAAGAGTATTACGCAGATTGCAATAGAGGTGATAACATTTGGCATAGTATTACGTCCAAATGTCATTAATTACCACACTGGTACCTTAGTCCTCTGTAGCACTTTCCGATTCGTCTCTCGTGATTAGGGTGAAGACATTAATTAACATCATAATAACAAGTTGAGTATTTTACAGGAAAAATGAAAGAAAAGATAAAATATATACATATATATACAATGATATATGTGGAAGATATACATGAATATACAATCGAAAATGTACCAAATTTTAATGACAACAAAACAAAGAGAAGCGGTGGAAGAGGTGTTTATAAGCAACTAAAATGATGGAGAATTGATAACGGTTATAGGATGCCAATTATTTTTATTTTTTATTTTATTAATAAAAACAAGTATTACTAATAAAAGGTCGAGCAATTTTATGTGCATAATTGACATACATTGCCAAATTAGTGTTATATTCACGTGATCCATTTTGGACTTACAAAAAAATTTATAAATCAAAATTATAAGTCATGAATAGAGCATATAGACTTTTGACTTTTAACTTATTTTAAAACCTTATTACCCTAAAAATAAAGGCTTAAAATCATTTTTTAACTTTTCTTCCAGGCACCTTAAAAATTGAAAAGTATTTCAAGGCAAAAAACACATAAAATTAAGCATCCAAAGGGGCACTTTTTCTCCTTTCTATTTAAGGTAAATGAAAAGAGTAGTTCTATTACGAATAATCATTTTGTTTCCTACCAACTTAAACGAATAAAATCATAAACGTTTAGCTATTTGGGGGCATGAATCATTAACTTGTAACGAGGATAATTAGCACCAACAGGAATTTGTCCTCTTTTTTTCATCAAAATTATTACTACTACAAAAAACACTCTGAATATGGAAACACTCAAACTTTAAGGTGTGTTTGGGAAAATTTTTTATAAATAATGTTTGTTCATACACTTGGTCAATATTTTTGATAAATATCTCAAATTTTCAAGTACTAATTTTTTCTAATATTGTATCAAATCTCATTATTTGGGATTTTTTAAAAGTTGAAAGTTTACCCCAAACTTTTATTTTACAAAAACACCCTCTATAATTGTTGCTTACGTTGTATTACATAATTTTTTACATTAATTTCAAACTAGTGATGAAATATTCGGTGAATGTGAAATGATAATATGATTATTGATGAATAATCGGCTCAAGATAACAAAGTCATGTATTTTGTCGACTTCACGATATATGAAATAATGCTTGTTGCACTCACTCAAAATTAACAAATTGCTCTAGTGTCATGGACACTATTTGTTATTGTTGTAAAAAAGATCCAATTGACTCGTAATACAAACTTATGGTTAGTTTTGAAAATTTTAAAACTCATGGGTATATATCATATTTTTGTAATAAACTGAAATATATTTTCCAAATACTATGGCCAAAAATATGGTAAAATTTCACCCAAATTTTCACTTAAATAGTATTTATCAAAAATATTTAAAAATCTATTATCAAACGCTAACTTATTTTATTCGCAAAATAATGGTGGACCTATTATTTTTTTGTTCTAGTCTATTGATGCATTTTATTACGCCTCAATCAATCTCTTACAACATTATGTATGTCTCCTATAAAATAGTTACTTTCTCTAGTTTAAAAGGTAAAATATTATCAAAAAAATTCAAAAGGACATATCAAAAAGAAAATTAATCAAAAGACAAATTGCTCCTGTCGAGGTGATTATTTTTTGACAAATATTAATGTCGTTTAAAAAATAGAAATTGCTAATTTATCATTAATTTTTATATTTAAGATATTATATTTATTATATTCAACGTATAATAAAATTATAACAGTGTGGATAATTATTGTTGAATAAGAGAGTATATTATTTATAATATTTCATTAGTTTCTTCTAAAAAAATAAAAAGTTATTCATACTATTAGCTTGTTTTTGGGTATCCAAAGTTAGGAAAAATCCAATTTGCGTATGAGACGAATTTGAAAAAAAACTAGACGTGCACAAAAAGTTAAGAAGAAAACTGAAACATTATGGGGTTGGCGTATGAGGACAAAAAACATCACACACCCAGTCATAGGAATTGTCAATCTTTTTATATGTTTATTAAATTCAACTCCATAAGTCCCACCACCCTCCTCTGTTTTTCTTCTCTCCCCTGTTTCACACTCATTCATAATGCAAATATACACACTTAAGTCTCAGCCACTACAATTCTACAAACTCCAAATGGGTTAAAGTTTTCTGTTGACAAAAAAAAAATAAAAAATGAAGATCACAGATGGGTTTGCTAGTTCAATTGATTGTCAGTTGACTACTGATCACCAGCTGCACCACCGCCGGAAGAAAACAAGAACTCCGGTAAAGGGTGGAAGTGGATCAGCCTCAGCCAATCAATTCTTGGTGAGTAAGTTTAATAGCCCTTCGATGGAAATGGAATGCAGAGGATTTGAGTTTTTTAATGGTGGGGCAAAGATGGGTGTTTCTGCCAGAAAGCTCGCCGCTGGCTTGTGGCATTTGGCGGCGGAGTTCGACTCGGCTGGTGGCGGTTCTGGCGGCATGAAGCGGCAGTGTGGTTCGATTCATCCGGTAAGTTTTCAGGTGTGATTGAATTAAATATTTTGTTCTTGTTTCCCACAGGTTGTTTGATTGTTGGGGGTGGGGAGGAATTGGATATTCTGCATAATTTAGCACAAGAAAATAAAACTTTTAAGCACTTATTTATAAGCCAAAGAATAAGTGATAAGTTATAAGCGCATCCGAACAGACATGTCTAGGGTATTGATCACCTAATAGTGAGGATGATCTACTAGTAATTGTGAGTTTAATTATTCACAATCAACTTACGTAAAGTAGAAAAGGGAGGAAGGTCACAGATGTTAACCATCTAGAGACAATGAAACTTGTTTCCTTTAACCATCTCGAGGAAGCCAAAACTGAAATTCTAACCATATCTAAATATGTTGTACCGTTTCAAGAAAATCCAGACTTTCTGACCATTTGCATGATTATTTTCGTTGTTGCTAGCTCCCTTGTTGGATACCAATCCCTAAATCTGTGATGGAGGGAGCTACAAAGTGGGATCCTGGCCACTTCAAAACGTCCAGAGAAGTAAATCATTCCAACAACCTTGTAAAGCTTTATGAACGTCAACGTACTGCTACTACCTCACTTGCTCCTGCTTTACAATTAGTTGAACTAATAAGAGCAAGAATTCACATTCAAGAGCTAGAAGCTGACAGGAGGCGTCTTAGAAAGAAATTCAAACACTTTGCGAGGAAGCTGAATGAAGAAAGAAGCTCATGGATGAGAAAAGAATGTCAGAAGATGCATGCTATAGTTGATCACTTAAAAGATGATTTGAGAAGAGAAAGAAGAAACTCTAAACAGTTGGATATTGTGAATTCCAAATTGCTGGTTGATCTAGCTGATTCAAAGTTATCTTCGAGACAATATATGCATGATTATGAGAACGAAAGAAAATCTCGACAGTTATTGGAGGATGTGTGCAATGAGCTAGTCAAGGAGATTGAAGAGGACAGAGCGGAAATTGAAGCATTGAAGCGTGAAAGTGCCAGACTTGAGGAGGAAGTGGAAGAAGAGAGAAAAATGCTTCAATTGGCTGAGGTTTGGCGCGAAGAACGGGTTCAAATGAAGCTGATTGATGCAAAACTACTTTTAGAAGAAAAATATTGCCTGATGAGTAATCTTATATCAGAACTTCAGAGCTTTTTGAGAGCTAACAATGTAACTGTGGGCATGACTGACTTAATTGAAGTGCAAGTGGTCAAGCAGGTTGTTGACTCATTGAACATCCAAGAAACAAAGGAGTTCTGCTCAAGCTCTCCAATATTAAATGACATATATACACTTAATGAGGGTTCTATTATATGTGAAGCGTCAAAACTGGGAACTAATACCTTCGCTGATTATAGTACTCCTTGTCGTTCCTCTGCAATTCAAATTGTTGGTACTGAGGTTAGTAAAACATGTGCTATGACCACCAGCAGCGAATGTTTGAATAGCGTTATTGATCACGACCAGAGTTGCAAAGATGAAAGTGGTAGAGAAACAGTGACCCAAGTTGAAGGTCAGTTTTCGAATTATACTGTTGGTGAAACTGAGCATTCTGTCAATTGTACTGACCGGGGCAGATATCTTTTATGTGGCAAAGTGAATCATGAGCAGAACACTGGTCAATCTGGTTCTCTGGATTTTGAGACTAGTGACATCTCCTTAGTATTACCCAAAAAACCAAAGAAGAAAGGATCATCTTTTCGCAAGCTTTGGAGATCCTCACTGTCAACTGAGGACTTCTGTAAAACAATCTCGGTCGATGATAGTGGAAGATTTTCAAATGGATCAACGTCTAATGTGGATGTTGTTTTTTCAGAGAATGTACCAGCTGAAAGAGCACTAGCCTACCAAGATTTTGTGAATCACTGCTGCTCAGGTGGCCCAAGAAATCCACACACTGCTCGAGCCATGAAAGGATGTATTGAATGGCCACGTGGAATACCGAAGCATGGTTTGAAGTCCAAGCTTTTGGAAGCTAGAATTCAGAGCCAAAAATCGCAATTGCGCAGTGTGCTTAAACACTTGAATTAGGTGGAAGGATGGCTTCAGTTTGCTGGTTTAGGTAATTGTATAAACTTCATGAATCTCACGAACTAGTAGTTGAATTCACATGGTAAAGAGCTGCTGTAACAGTTTTGTCTCTTCATTGCTGCCTCTTAAGTATTTCAATGAACTTCTAGATATCATTAAACTGTATCCACCCTAAAATTACACGAAATATGTTTTATTTTCAAAAATTATATGTGTCATTCTATCATTATCTTATTCTTCGATCGATATTATTACTGCAGTTATTTCTTGGACTTAACATCCTAGTGATGCCTTTACTAATGGAAGTAATGAAAATGATTCATTCACTGTGGATTTTGTCCCCACCCATGATTTAAGGGTGGGGGCACAAAAGATATCCATGTTGTAATAGTATATCTTCTTGTAGACTGCTGAGATGATTCACCAGCACAATGATGTGTGGCTGGATGCTGATTGTTTTTTACCTTTTTTTCTTGCTTCTGTTTGCATCATTTTCTGGTGACACCCATGCCCCAATCTTTCATGTCTCAGATTACTTGAATTTAGCATATCATTTATTTACAATCCAGGTGGGACACTCTTCAGTACCTACTGCGGAATTGCTGAGTCAGAAGAAAAAGAAAAAATTACTCTCTTTATCTCAATTTATGTAACATCGAGATACAACCAAACAGTATATTTGTGATTTATAGTACTTTTTACGTAATTCATTTTTATAAAATGAAAGATTCCATGAGCAATATTTTTATCAAAATTTAAACTATTTGACTTTCTAAAAATAAAATATATCGCATAAAAAGTAGTATATAGCAACTACATTACTATCCTTTTGTCAATCTTTTAAACCTCCTCATCACGAAAACCGTGAAATCCATAGTTAACTGGGATTTTTCAGTTGATACTTGAAGGGTAGTGTTTGGAAAATTTTCAGTGTGGACTTAACATTTACTTGAATATTTGGTTTTATGAAATGTGCTGAACAATTATAGTTGGTGGAAGTGAGTTGGGCCTCTTGTAGGTTGAAGTTCATGTTGGGCCATAATCCATGGTGGGCGTGACTTGGGCCTAGTATGACGATGGAGGTGGAGCGGAAAACTTAGCCTAACCAACTACAGGTGGCTCATGGATCTGGTCTTCTCGAACAATTCGAGGTTTGAAATGAAAGTAATTTTTAAGAACCAAGAATAAAATCATATTAGAAGGCTCAAACATGTCAAGAAACTAGAATGTGGACGGTCTGGATCGAGCCCCAACAAAGCAAGACAATTAGTTATGAATTCGAACCTAGATTCTCTAATTTATCATAACCAGAATGAAATTTGAATAGAACTATATATGTGTTTACGATAAATTTTAAACATATGGAAAATAAATAAACCATACAAATAAAATATGAAGAAACGTAAATTTTTTTTATTAAGATAGCGGGTACAATTCTGTTGATCCATCAATTCTACTCTCCTAGGATTTATCCATTGATTCGAGGGCCGAGTATTTCTCGAACTAGGACGATGCCACATATTTCACGAACTAGGATCATTTAGATTTGACTTCTCTTTATGAACAAACCATCATTGTGGAGCATTCGAGATCTTAATTTTTTTATGAAATTTTCAAGATGCCTTTTAAGAAATTTTAATAACTTTTTTACAGACATACATTAGGGTTTAGGATTGAGAAGCTTCAAATAATCGTTATCTGAGTTGAACACAATGTGTAGAGTCCTAACTTGAGTAGAATGCATCTTGTAGAGTCCTATACAATATGATAGAGATACAAACACACATTCGATGAAACATCAAATCAATTAACAGACATACAAGCTAAGGATTAAATTACTTTCTAAAAAGTCTAGAATGATTGCAGTGCAAAAGCTATTATTAACCTAAAATGTGGTCAAAAGTATTTCGATTTGTAGCAGAACAATGTGATTAACAGAATATACCAAAAATAGTAAAATAAAAAATAAAAAAAATATAGTGGCAATTATTATAAAAAATTAAAATAAAATATATAAGTCTAGCTAATCCAGGAGGGGCTACATTATGCCTTTACGTAAGTACTGTTTAATCGTACTATATTAGGCAAACACATTTAACTTGATCTAAACCCTTACCTAATCATAGAAAGGGACTTAACACTAGCTTCGTCTCTAACCCCTAGCCACCTAAGTTAATTATTATCCAAAGTATTTCTACTCGATAATTTTTTATCTAAAATAATTAACTACATTATATTTGATTAATAAAGTGAGAATACGTAGTTACTGAGTTTCAATACTGTAATCGTTGCTACAATTACAAATATAATTTATTTCATTGTATTAATTATTATTTTGTCTATCTTTCATGCATTTCATCAAAGAAAAAAAGACTTTTCATAAAATTATGCATATATTGTTGTTATGGTAATGCAATTGGGTGTTCATTTCGATCAAACTTCAATTTAATATATTAAATGATTCACTGTCCAAATTGGAGGTAGTTATTTGCAACTTGTTCAGACAATGGCATACCAAAATTACGTTTTCAATACTACTAATTAACTAAAATAGAAATTTATTAAAGTTTATTAAAAAAAAGGGGAAGAATAATTAGGTAAATGTCTTAAATGCAAATTCAATGGTGGAGCTTAAAAGAAGGCATGCAGCCTGACGTACAGAGTGATTATATTCTCAATAAAGTAGCATTACTTTTTAATCTTTTTTCGGATTTGCAAAGGGATAATATTCTCTCTAATTTAATTTATTTATTCTTATTAAGGTTTATATATGAAGTGGACATTGTCGTATGATTAATAATTAATCTAAATGGAATCTTTGAACCTGCCATTACCTTTTATTAATTAATTGTTTATGCTGTCAATTCAAATATCTTCTATAGTTTAGTATTTATATAACTATATTATTCATATTCATCAACTAATGCGGCTAAGAAACACAATTTGAACCGTCTATAATATCTATTTTTATAATCATGAGAAGAGACAATTTCAGTAACTATTCTAGGATATTTTAGGATCCGTTTGGTCACAAGTATATTTGGGAAAAAACTTAAGAAATAATGTTTGATCATATAATTTTTCATTATTATAGTACTATTTATTAAATATATTTAGTTCTCTAATATTAGAAAAAACTGCTAATTCAATTAACTATTGAAGTTGATTAAATTCGATTAGACCAATTCAATAATTTTATATAAAATTTATTAATCAAAATTTACATAATTTAAAATGCAGAAAATATTTAACCCCAGGTATATATATATATATTGTTAACAAAGTGGAAATGGGGTCGAGGAAACTTGTCATTCATCCAAAGGGAAAGTACAGCCTAGCATTCATGTCATGGAACAATCACTTATGCAAAGAGGATAGGGGAATAAGAGTAGATCAGATTCAAAATTTAAAAAATAATTTATATTTTTTAGGTTTTACGACGAGATAAGTTATTAAATTTATTATAAATAACTTATAAAATATTAAGTAAAATTTTTAATATGCATAAATATCTAAATAAAAATTACTGAATTATATTTCAATATTATAGATCCGTTCCTAAAGTAAAACGTGCTAAAACTGCATATGCATACACAAGCCAACTTGATCGGGCACAAGTAGATCCGGTATCTCCAGTTGATTTTGTAATTTTTTAAAAATAAAATAAGATCCACTCTACAAATCTATTTATAATAGCTTAATTGTTATAAAATGTCTATTTATAATAGTATTTAACATTTTTTTTTGTAATTGTCAGTTAATTTTATGATAATTAACTAATATTGTTAAAGACTTTAACAATTATTTTAGCAGTTGGCTTCTCTGCAAATGTTGAATTGGTGTGTGATTATTTGTTTTGATGAATTTTGAATTGTTGTTCCTGTTGTTCGATCACGCTTGAAAAGACTTGTAATATAGCTAGGACAAAATTGAAGGCGAAGCAGGTGGTTGGGCATGCAAAACAATTGATCATGAGTTAGAGATTTGAGCCCACCTATATATAGTGCCAGCCTACTTGTTACAATTTAATTTATCTACTCTACTGTGTTGGATAAATATCCATTTCCTCTTTATCTCATCTTCACCTTGTTTTGGCTAAACATCACATTATTTGATTCCGACTACTCATTTACCTTTTTTTATTCGAGTCTACGGCCTTAAAGGTATAAAATATTAACAAAAATTTTAAAACGGAATATAAAATTTTATACTAATCGCTAAAACAACATCGATTTTCTCCGCCGAAAAAAGCAAAATCACTACTACGGCAGCAATTAACATTTTTTAAAAATAAAAAAATTTCAAGAAAATCTGCCTAAAAAATATTTTCTTTTTTAAAATGAAAATCGTTGCCTAGGAAGCGATTTTCTTGAATTTTTTTGTTTTTTATTAAAAAATGAAATCGGTGCTTAGGCAGCGATTTTCTTGAAAATATTTTTTTATATCAAAAATTACATTTTGCAAAAATCGTTGTAGTAGCAACGATTTTGCTTTTTTCAGCGGAGGAAATCGCTGTTATTTCAGCGACTTTACCATTTTAATTAATATAAAATTTTATATATCGTTTTAAAATTTTTATTAATATTTTATATTTTTTAAGCTCCAGACTCTCTTTGCTCTCGTATTTATTTATTTATTTATTTTCCCCTTACAATACATTTCATGTATAAAGTTTTGAAATTCAATAAAGACGCTTTTATATTCTAAAATTTAAACCCTAAATTTTTAGTCAAAAACAATAAGTTTAAAACATCTAATATCACCGAGCCTTGAGATTTTATTTCTCAGAACAAACAGTAGGCAGGTATAGGGCTATATAAGTTGGTGGTAGACCATATCACTGTACCAATATTACTCTTTGCCAATCGCGCAAACTCGGGGTATATATTATAGATTCGGGACGGAAGTGTAACTATTGTTAGGAACGGAGTCATAAATTGAAGTTGATCAATTCTAAATTTTCTTATAGAAATGATTAGGTTTTGTTTTTCTTCGTGCAACCTAAGAATAACTCATGTGTTATTATGTTTAAAAAAATTTAATTGATTCGCTATATAGGATATCTGAAAAAGAATATTTGTTTTTTAAAAAATTCTATAATTTTATTAAATTATTTTTGTTCAAGATTAATATATAATATATATATTCTACTTACCATTAATATAAAACCAATAAATTAAATAATATTTTTTTATTTCATAAAAATTTAACTCAAATTAAAAATTAGAC